TCGAAAGGAAACCCCCAGAGAAAAGTTTCCCGATTGAAATTGGCCAAACAATCGTTTGGCGTATCCGAACATTTAAAGCTTAAAATTTCCCTAGATATATCGAGTATTTCTTGCTACTTAAATTGCTAAAAAGAATTTTATATACACCAGAGTGTGTCTGACATAATCACATTGTAAAAGGATGAAATCGATATATAATTAACCACTTTGATATTAAATATCATATTGAAGAAAGAAAGCTTATAAGAACATACAAATTAATGCTTACCAAAAGTATCAAACATGTTATCACAAATTGATAATTTAAGAGACGTAAGAGTACTTCATTTCCAAGTTATTAACAGGACATCCCAGCAAAAACTCCACGAATTTCTGCCGGGTCTCCAATGACATTATATGTTTGCCATTGTTCCGCGGAAAAATTACTCTTTCTTCCAGATCAGAAAATGCTGTCTTTAATCTGTGCCATTTTAAACAGTACTTGTCTGAATTTATCGTTTCATTTTTCAGAAGAGGCTCCCAGCAGATATATAGTATCACCATCTTCGGATTCGGAATGAATTTCGGAGTGGTCAATGATGCTTTATTTCGTTTATTTCGAGACGTTTTTGATTGATGTTGTTTTAAACTATCCACTTTTCATCGCGTGCGATTGTTCTTTTTAAAATTATTCCCGAGAAGAATCACTGGTGGAAAAATGGTCATTTAATTATTTCATTATTTTTTTTTAAACCGTAAGGTATCGTTGGAATTCACAGACCCTAGTGTTTTCAAATACCTTACAACGCTCATTACAAAATATCTGGTTTAAACATACTAGAGATAGTTATACTAGATTTAGTTTATTTCACAGTTTTCCCAGTCACGGGTAACCTACAATACAGCAGAGATTTGAATTTAAACTTTTCTTTCTCCTACATGGATTCTCTTCCCTACAACCAGGAACTCCATTCACCCGATATATATATATATATATATATATATATATATATATATATATATATCCATTAATATCTACCTATCTCTCGATCCTTCTCTTTCTTTCTTTCTTTCTCTCTCTCTCTCTCTCTCTCTCTCTCTCTCTCTCTCACTATATATATATATATATATATATATATATTCTAACAGATTATTATTGTCACAGCAGGATAAAATCATCTTTAAAAAAGGGATCATATTTTATAAATAAAAATAGGATACAAAAGTTTCAGAGCGATTAAAATTTAAGGACACAAAAAAATGCTGTTTTCTTTTCGTTCCCCCACCCCCATAGTTTTGGCAGATATTAACACAAATTATTGAATTTTTTTTTTTCTTTTCAAATTCTTAGTTTTACATGCCGACGATATTTTTTTCTGGAGATGTGTCGGTCGAAAGGTACCTTACATTTTAAACACAGATAATTTTGCGACCTTTATTATTATTATTAATATATATATATATATATATATATATATATATATATATATATATATATATATATATATTTAGTTTTTATGCAAAACTAGGTAATCCGTATGGGTAGACCCAAGGAGAATGATATTCAGAAAGCTCAATGTAAATTCAGAGCAGATATGTTTGAATAAAACAGACCACTTTAAGGTTCCATGTCATAAGCTATTTCACCACAACCCCTTTAACAGGGCTCTGGATCATCAGACTTTACTTCCAAAAGCTGAAATGAAAAAATGAAAAGAAATTCAGTGAATTGGTGAAATAACTTATTACATGGAACCATAAAGTGGTCTGTTTTTTATTCAAATATATATATATATATATATATATATATATATATATATATATATATATATATATATATATATTATATGCACATGTGCAGACACACCAACATAACAAATTTAATTCGATGAAGTCTTCAACTTTCTCTTCATTATACATGTTTCCCTATAATATATATATATATATATATATATGAAACATAACTTTCCTTTTCATTCCTTTAGAATTTCGGCTTTAATGTTAATAAAATGAATAGCTAGAGAACCCAGTCTACACTCTTACATTGTCCCTAGATGGTGGCAGATACAATAGAATGGTGCCATACCTTTTTGGAAGAGCATTTGTGTGAAAATAAATCTCACAGACTAGGCGTGAGTATGAACCCGAATCAGAGAATCCTTCTTCAGCGCCGATAACAGTTACGATGCCTGCACATTCCTATATCTCTATATTATGTATGTCTAAATATAAAATTCTGTTCATAATGTAATGGCCCCTAATTTGGATATCAAGGTGAAGTATGTTTTTGCTGTAAGCACAAGCGAAATATTGAAATTAATTTAATGACAAAGAATGATTTCAAAGATGGCAATTACTCCATGTTTCAGACGGTATTAAGATTCATATTACAGGAAGAACAAACGCCATTTCCTTTTTCATGTTCAACAGAATCAGACAAGTTCCAGATATTCAGAAAAGAATGAAACAAAAATAGAGAAAAATAATATATATAATTTTCTCTCTCTCTCTCTCTGTATATATATATATATATATATATATATATATATATATATATATATATATATATATATATATATTTATGTTGTAGTCTTCACGATCTCACGATTTTTCAAATATGAGCTTAAGAATCTACAATGGCTATTCCACGCCCTTGCGCGCGTCGCCGACTTCGACTAATCACTTGGGATCGAGGCAGACCAAGAGAGTATGGTTAAAATCTGTAATGACTTTATTGGAAAACATGGCAAAGTCAGGGAAAAACTTTTCAGACAGAGTGAAAGGGTGCTAACAGACCCGAATGTCTTAGCTAATCAAGTAAATGCTAGGATTCACTTCTCGTAAAGACTGACGCTTGTTCAAAAAATAAATAATAAAAATCTTTCCCATTTCCCCGACACAATTCCTTTCTGCAATCATGGAAATTGCATATGCAAGGAGGCATTCCAAAGCTAATATATATATATATATATATATATATATATATATATATATATAATTTTTTGTATGTTTGGCTGGATGGCCGGCCGGGCGGCTGGCTGGCTGGTTGACAGTGTGTGTGTGTGTGCGTACGCAGTAGAAGCAAGAAGAGGCATTTTTATACCTCAAGTCAAATCTGAGTCTGGCTGTTATTTTCATGAGATAAAAGATTCCACTAGAATCTCATTTACTCTCTTATGATCTTGGCAAATAGAAATATCGCTATGAACAGATTGAGATAGATAGAGAGACTGACAGATAACATAGATAGATAGATAATATAGATAGAGAGGTTACAATAAGAATGGACACATATATATATATATATATATATACATGGATAAATATAGGTAAATGGCCGAGCCAGTCTTCGTATACAAGTACATATATATATATATATATATATATATATATATATCCGATGCAATGTGAACCAAAGTAATATATAAATTCTAAAGTACACAGCATTAATCCAAGAAAGGGCTCGATACCGATAGTAGAGCGATAATTATCATATAGACAAAAACAGATACTCACTACAAAGATGCAACTTCGTTTCGGTGCATTTCAATTGCACTTCGACGGGTGAGAACATAAAATGGTTATGAACAATTATATTCACTTCCTTTTTTTCCATTTGTGTGAGAAAAAATATACATAAAAGAAAAAGGTTACGCTTTGAAACAATAGTACTTGTTGTTAGAAGTTTGGTGAAGAATGGATGGGGTGTTGAATTCTGGGAAGATTCCTTACCGATAACCACGGTGAAAAGTTTAGGCCCAACATCTCATAAACGTCGTAAGAGAGAGGGGTAGGAGAGGAAAGGTGGCAATAGGAGATAGTAATACGATGAAATAGCTAGGAGGGATAAATTCTAGCCATAGTTATAGTAGTAATTAGGAATGCTTTTTTTGGTTTACTATAAAAAAAAAAAACTATGTTGAATTGCATATGTTGGAGTTATCACTACTAATTCTGTAATCAATGGAGGTGTTTTGTAAATTAATAAATTTAGAAGTGATAGTTTCTTCTTGGTATTTTGGATATGTAGAGTTAGGTATATATACGTGATTTAGGAATTAAATATAAGTATAAAAATGTATGGGATATTAATATAAATTTTATAATCAAATGTTGACCTATTTTTCTACAGTATAATGTGGAGAATAAGTATGGGTGTAAAAAATTATCTGAAAGTATTACTAGTAATATATATGCAAAAAAAAAAAAAAATATATATATATATATATATATATATATATATATATATATATATATATATATATGGAGGGGTGTAGTTGTATTCATGTGAATTTGTGACACTAGTTTTCACGCTATTTGCTATGATTTGTCTGACGATCGCAAATAGCGTGAAACCCAGCGTCACAAACTCCCATCCATCCAACTAAATATGTTAGCTCTATCACTGATATTGAGCACTTCCCAATAAGTATCGCGCATATATAATATATATAATATATAAATAATATATATATATATAATTGCATCTATCTATCTATCTATCTATCTATCTATCTATATATATATATATATATATATGTATATTTATATACAAATACATATATATATATATATATATATATATATATATATATATATACACTATAGTGTATAGTGTAAGATAAACAGTGTTCAATATTAAATAACATAACTATTTAATATATTAAAAGTAATAATACATAATACATAACGTTGACCACACAACTCTTAGTTTCATGGCAACGAAATTTTCAAGTGCTGATATTTTGTCGGCTTTTCTAGTTATTGCGAGATATTTTATTGTTGGTGTGGCTTATTATTATTGTTTAGTGTTTAAATGAATTGTAGTTTAATTTTGGATTTGAATTTTGGCGCCCATTAACATTTAAGATTGAAAATTAGGTTGGAAATAAGAACTATAAATTCTAATTTAAAGAGATGCTATAATATTAATTACGTTATTGATTTTCGAAAAAAAAGAGAGTTACTCCCCTTTATTTCCAAACTGTCTTCTTGTTTTTTCATTTTGATAATAAAAGTGCCTATTTAAAGATAGATAGATAGATAGATAGATAGATATGATTAAAATAGGAATGGCCATAGCTAGCTTATATAGATAGACATATATGAAGATATGATTGCAATAATAATGAACATAGATAGATAGAGTTGAATATATCCAAAGAAATTAATGCCAAAATGTCCGAAAAATGTTTTAAGTTGGGTGTTTCTTCTTTTGAAAAGACATCTTCAGACCAACAATGCGTTTAGCGATAGAATCTCTATCTATAAAAGGCAGGATGTGTGTGTGTGTGTGTGTGTGTGTGTGTGTGTGTGTGTGTGTGTGTGTGTAACGAATGCACGGTCGCAATTTTCGACGGATTTGCACCAAAGTTTATATGCACATGCTCCAAGTTAGTGGAAAGGCTAAGACAGACTTTGCATTTCCCAACTTCCATCGATAGAGGAAATAATCGATTTTTTCATGCTTCTACGGCAGTTTTCATGTAGTTTGCGGCCATTTTCTACTGGCCAGAGTGAGAGCCAATAGCTGGCTACCAGGAATAGGCAGGAAGATTCTATTGGCCAGCGTGAGAGCTAACAGCTGACTGACACGAATGTTAACTAGCATGCAAAAAATCGATAGCTGTATTCGTCACAAGTGGGAAAAATTTAAATCTGCATGGCACTTTACTCAAATTGGCTCATTTGCTTGCTTAAACTCAATGCTGATTCTGATTCCGCAGAACTGGGTTGAGTGTGAAAAAGTATTTGTTGTTAACATTCTTTTTTCATTCGGTTTTTCCAGTTACGAGTCCTTTTTTTAAAGCTGATCGTTTTGTGTTCACTTTGTTTAGTTATTTTTTCGTAACAGATTTAATGTTTAGTATAGCACTTAGAAAAAATTCGCAGTGTGAGATAAGCAAGAAGTAAGGCATGTAGCAACATCACCACGGCAAAGGGCACACCTTTAAAGGCAAGGAAGGGCAAAAATATTTTAAGTCAAGTGATAGCGATTGCTGTACGAGTCGTACGATTTTTGAATCAAGGACGGGCAAATCTTACGTATATACGGAGGGGGAATATATACACCAAAAAGCCGGTCACAATCTTACGTCAATAAAGTCAGCGTCAAATGTAAAAATGATATATATATATTTTTATATATTTGTTGGTGATAATGAATTCTCTGTACGAAAGAAAACAAAAGTTTATGCATAGATCTTATTTTTTTCAGTATGTTTCATCCTGTAAAAGCCCGGGTACCACTTGAGGTAACGGGTAACATTAAGTGCTAGTTAGATAACGGTTAATCCTAAACTGGAATATGTTAAGATTGGAGTGATAGGGGAAACACCCTCTTGGGTCTCTATTCCCTAGGCCAGTTGTTCACTGGAAGAAGCTGCTCGAGTGGAAATTACTACTCGACGATGGAATGAGGGAATATAGGTAGTTTGTTAATCTGTAATTGCCATGGTGGGTCCTAGTCGTGAAGATTAGGCCTATTGGAACCAAGGACTGTAGCTCGTCCGAGCACTTTCCATGAAATTAAAAACAGAGCAGTGAGAGACTAGCCACATCCCACCTGTGAGAGAGGGTTTGAAGGGTAGAAAATAATTCTTCTCTAACAAGTGCTTGGAGACGCTTTTGAACTCTATCAAACCGGAAAATGAGGACTAGACAGCTCCCGTCCAAATATAGCAAAGGTACCCGATTTTGGACATGATCTGGCTTTTATAAAGGTAGAGTATAGCATGAAGATTTAGGTACTTAATGGATCGTTACAGGGGGGGCGACAATTTTACCTGCATCTTTAGCTATGGATAGTATATAAGTGTTCCACTTGAGGTCGGGTGTGTGTTTTAGACGAAATACTCTCTCAATGCACATGGCTTCCTCTAGTGAATATCCGTTCATCGCGACTGCCGGTATTTCGGGGTCTCGTCGGCGGTGATGGAATGTAACCAGTTTGCTTTTAGGGGCATTGAATGCAACCAGACAGTTTTTTTTTAATGTAATTATTCTTGTCACAGATACAAGGAGGTAATGGACAGTTGTTTTGCAAATTCATTAGAACTGGCTGGTCAAGAATGCAATGGAAAGATTAAGAATGGGCGTGACAGCTATAAAGTTAAAAACTGAGTATAAGTCCCAAGATATCCTCTTTGGAAAGCATGCCTATTTGCTTACGAACAAGTTTACAGCGTTAGAAAACACCCATTAAATATAATGGGATCGACAATTAAATTAATGTATAGGTAAACAGTACAGACATCCGTAAACATTATATATATGTGTGTGTGAGTGTTTGTGTGTATGTATATGTGTGTTTTCGTGTTTATGTATATGTGTTTGCGTGTGTATACATACATACTTACCACAAAGCAAGACTTAAAGAGAAGTAAGACAGAAATTTAAAGAAAATAAGAATGAAATTTGAAGAAGAATAAAGAAATAAAAATGGTGACATGAAACAATTAAAAGAATGAAAACGTTAAAGAAAGGGTGATTGTCGAACCGGCTAAGTTTTTGGTGGATTCTCGGTGGAATTTGTTTTAGATAGATAGATAGATAGATAGATAGATAGATAGATAGATAGATAGTATAAAGAATAGATAGATAGAAGCAGAGTATAAATGATAGCTAGCTAGATAGAAAGATAGATAAAAGACAGATAGATAGATATAGACAGAGTATAAAGATAGATCGATATATAAACATAGACTAAAGTATAGATAGATAGATAGATGCATACATACATACATACATGCATACATACACACAGACTTAAATAAATAGATAGATAGATAGATAAATAATATAAAGAATAGGTAGATAGAAGCAGAGTATAAATGATAGCTAGATAGATAGAAAGATAGATAACAGACATATATATAGATAGATACAGACAGAGTATAAAAGATAGATCGATATATAAACATAGACTAAAAGATAGATAGATAGATAGATAGATAGATAGATAGATAGATAGATAGATAGATAGATATTTTACGGTATGCTTAAAAATCGGTCATTTCCATGAGAAATTTATTGGCCGAACCGATTATTTTGTTTGGCGTTGATTCAATGTATGACATCATTATGCTCTGAAGGAGACCCTGTCACAAAAATTGGTGGTTCCTTGCTGGTTCCTTGCTGGTTTCCTTGGCAGTACCGATCACCCTCCCAAGTAAATTAAAATGGACCAAACTGTGTTCCAAGGTAGTTACAACCAAACTTGTCTTAGCTCAACTTATGTGACGGGGAGAAGCATTACCAGGAATTGAACAGTAAACGTACGAGTTGCTCGTGAACAGTGCCACGAATTCCACAATCTGTTTTATTAATGAATTGATTCATTTGATTTCTCATGTCTTGATAATATTATAGGCCATAAGAAAAACAAATAATTATTTCAAAATAATATAGACCATTAGAAGAACAAATATTGATAATATTGACTTTAAAAGAGAGAAAAAAAAACATAACAGCAAAACCAAAAATCTAAAAAATTGCAAACGCAAATTGTTGAAATCTGATGAGCTTGGGCTTTTGTTGAACGAGGTCGGCTCGTGTGAACGCGTGCTGATGAAAAGGCCTGACATTGATTGGTTGATTAACGAAGGGCGCTGGCAAATATTAGCGATACACTGAAGATCTGCAAATTGGCTCATTGCCATATCCGCTGCCAAAATTGTAACATTTTATCGGCATTTTGCCGAGAAACACAGGTGTACTTTTCACATACATGGAAGAAAATAGGTATAAAACATCTACAAGTAAACACATACGCAAATATATATATATATATATATATATATATATATATATATATATATATATATATATATATATATATATATATATATATATATTTCTTCGTCTCTTGAAGGAACTCCGGATTAATAAAGATTTTATTCATTGAGTCACTCACATACTTCCTGTCTGCCTGTATGTCTGTCTCTCTCTCTATATATATAAATATATATATTTATTTCTCTTATATATATATATATATATATATATATATATATATATATATATATATATATATATATATATATATATATATCAATCTCTGGTGAAGCTTTAATGCATGTTACATTGACAAACGTCTCCTATTTATTGTATAAGTTGTACATATATATATATATATATATATATATGTGTGTGTGTGTGTGTGTGTGTGTATAGGTTGCGATGGGTAAATTGTCACTATTTTATATATTCAATTTTGCACATGCGCCTTGTGCGTTTTTGCTTTTGTCGACTGCACTGAATAATAGTGTCAGTTGGTTAACATCTTTGAGAAAAAAAAGCACCATGACGCAATTCAATCAGGATTCATAAATTATGAAATAGCATGCTGTACCGCTTGGCATTCTCACCGGAAAGGTCCGCTACAAACATTTCAGAGTGTTTGGGTTTCAATCTGAAGAAGTACAATGGATTTGGAAAGAGCTGAATGAGTCAAATGATGATTACGAAGATACGGTAGCTCGGAAAACTTACTCTGATCGTTCTCATAAGATAAGAACTTCCGAATTCGTTGGTGAGGCCATCAGACGCAACACGGTGGTCCACACCAAGAGCTTTGTGGAGGTAGTGCTGCTTTGCTTCAATAAGGTAGCTGCTGGAAGACCATATGTCTTTTAACAGGATTCTACACCATGCCTCACAAGCAGAAGAACACATTCATGCCTGTCAGACAATTTCTACAACCTCATAACCCCTTACATCTGGCCACATAACTCCACAGACTGCCACTCTCTTGATTATTATTATGTAGAGCAAGGGACCAACAAAATTCCTTGCGTCACCAAAGATAAACTGAAGAGAAAGATTATGGCATCACTCACCAACTTGTCCAGAAGAGTTGGAGGAGATTCCGAAGTCGTCTGAAGCCTGTGGTTGAAGGCAATGGCGATTTCAGTGAATAAATTTTCCCTTTATTCTTTCAAGATATATTTGTGTAATTTTGGTCAATACATATGTTATAATGAGATGTCCGTGTTATTTTCATTTTTGCGTAAATTAGACGACAATTTATCCATCGCAAATTATATATATATATATGTGTGTGTGTGTGTGTATATATTATTATTATTATTATTATCATTTGTGTATGTTATGTTTCCTACATTGTATTCAGTCGAGACGGGTCGAAACTATGGTCCTTAGGCCCTATAGGTGAATTGTGTTTTAATTCATAGCACTTTTGTTAGTATATAGGATATTCCTTATAGAGAGATCTTCTTGGCAATTTGTATGTTGATGCTACCTGGCACTCTGTTAGTAAAATTGTTCATTCCTTTTCTCATGTGGCGCAGAGCTCCGATTACTATTGGTTGAATCTTAGTCTTCATTCCCCACATCCTGTTAATCTCGATTTCTAGATCCTTGTATTTGGACAATTCCTCGATGATTTTTTATTGGGGTGTTTCTCTCAGTTGGTACAGCTATGTCAGTAATCATACACTTCCTTAATTTCTTGTCTTTTATGATAATATCAGGTCTTTTGCCTTTTATTTCCCTATCAGTTTGAATTAACATTTCCCAGAGGATAGTTACATCGTAATTTCGGGTAACTGTGTCTAATTGGTGCTCGTACCATCTCTCGATGTTATGCTTCTTGCATATCTTCCACTGGTTATGTCGGTGGGTATATTCATTTTTTTGCCAGTTCCGAACTTCCTGAGATAATATGGTCGACAGTTTCATCATATTTTCTGCCTCGTCCTGCATTTCGGATAAGTTCTATACTTGATTATGTGACAGTGATAACTGATGTGATTGGTTGCGAGGCTTTGGTCCCGAGCTGCAATAATTAGGCCGCCTGTCTCAGTTTTCAACCCGGTGCTCTTCAGCCACTGATGTGTTTTCTGTTGGTCCACATCTGCTTCTTTCGTTCTTTTTATGTATTTGCCATGCAACGCCTTGTCCTCCCAGTATTTTTTTTTTTTTGTAATTTCTTTTGGCCAAGTTGTTTTGCTTTCTGTTTTACTCGTTACCCGTAGATGGTATTCGCTTCATTTTTTTGTTGCTAGGATTTCAAGCATATTAAGCTGTTTCTTGAAAAATGGGTTGATGGATTGGATTAGGTGTTTTACTGTTTGTAGAAGAGGGTCATTAGTTTTTACGAGGTCGGCTTCCAATCCGATTGCTGTAGTTTTTAGAATTAATTCAAGTCAGATTAGACCTCGACCTCCTAAAGCTCTTGGTACGTACAGCCTATAAACATCTCAATTCAGGTGGTGCATCCTCATTTGAATAAACATTTTTCTGGTCTTGTCTTGGCGTCCATTCTTTTAATGTCATTCAACTTTCATTTAATAATTTTGAAGCTGTAAGTTACTACAGGTATAGCTCAGGTGTTGATAGCCTTCATTTTATTGTCCCCATTTAGTTCGCTTTCTAGTATCAAACGCACTCTCTTAAGTTCCACCTTGGGATGAAACGTGTTACTTAGGTGTCACTCGATTATTAACTATTAGTCTAATATATAAATTTGTATATCATATCTTACTTGTATAGATATATCTAAACATATTTTGTTAAATTCAACTGGTAATGTCTGTGTTAATTTGTTTTTATTGAATGTTTCCAATATTGTAATGTAAATACTGATATAATGGAATATGCAGACATCTGTGTTCCCCCTCACTGCAATATGATTGGCTGGTGTCCGTCATAAATACAGACGGACGTGTAAGTACGACAGAGTTTAACTCTATGACGACGCCCATTGGACTACGCCATTGGCTATACTATTGGTCTACACCTATTACCTGCGACTACGACGAGTACCAGTCGATTACTGCTACTGTGTACTTGGTTACAGTAGCCAAAACTACTTAGCAACTTCGATCAAAAACATCCCTTTCCGGGATATATCAAATACAAATTCTTCAAGTTTAATTTTGCTTTCGACTCGCTCCGTCGTTGTTAAGAATTGGGCGTTGTTAGTATGCTAGACAAGATTTTATTGATATTGAGATTTCATTTTTCTAGAAAGCTACAATTCAAATTAATCCAAATCGTATAAGCGTCGTCATGCTTGTAATGATTTTGATTATATCCATCCATCGAAATATGGTGTCACGCTGTTCTATGGCCTTATTCGATCTTTCAGCGAAACAGGGTATTCCGTTGTGAAAGAAAAATAGTAGCTTTGGTTCCTAGAATAGTCGTCGACGGAACGGCCAGGTATTATACATGTAAAAAGTAATCAAAATATACAAGGACCTCTTGAATTAACACGCACACAAATGTATATATGCGCACGCAAGATATACACGCCTGCATGCACACATACTTATACAGACACACTTATACGGCAACACGCACAAACACACAATATTTACTTTGATTTCACTTTTTCCCCTCTGTTTCTTTCCATCTTCATCATTGTTACACTTTCTTTTCTTTTTGATTTCCAGTTTTCTTTCGTTTTCTTTCCTCATTTTTTTCATTGTCTCTTTCTTCCTTTCTGTCTCTTTTCCCTTTATCTACCTTCTTTTTCTTTCTTTTACTTTCTTTTTTTCATGTTTTATATTTACTTTCCTTTTCTAACGTTTTTTTTTCTTTCTTTTTTCAGTTGTAGTTTTCTTTGTTTTTCTTTTCTTTTTGTCTTTTCTTTCTCTCCTGGGTAAGACGATAAAGTACATCCAAGAGCAAGACCTCTGATCAAGAGGTTTCGAGGAGCATGGAACCACCTCTTAATTTCCGGTGTTCTCAGGTGCACCCTGACCTGGGGTAGCAGCACCTGTTAGGGTTCTAGCTGTGGGCAAATAGTTAACAACCAAACTGAGTTCAAAACATTATGAAAGTGTGAAAATATGTTTTAATACAAGCAATGCATTTTTGTAAAACATTATTACCAGCAATAAATTTTTGAAGAAAAATTATTACCAGAAATACATTTTCCAAAAAAAATATATTAGCAGCAATATATTTTTTGGAAAAAAATTATTACGAGCAATAAAAATCTTATCGGCATCCATAGAGGTTGATATGCTGTAAACCAAACCAAACCAAACCAAACTAAACCGTTTTGTATTTATTTCGTTAGTTCTTACACCCTTTCTTTCTTTCTTTCTTTCTTTCTTTCTTTCTTTCTTTCCCGCTTTTTTCATTTCTTTATTTTTTCAAATCTTCTTTCTTTACTTTCTTTTTCTTCAATTCTTTCTTTCTTTTTTCATTTCTAGCTTTTTTTTTCTTTCTTTACTTGTTTCTATTTTTTCTTCTTTTACGATTTTCTTTTTTCTCTTCTTCGCATTCTTTTTATTCTTAAATTTCTTTCTTTTTTCGTCATTTTTAATTGTTTCATCTTTCTTTCTTTTTGATCTCTTTTCCTTTCTTCCTTGTACTTATTTTAGCGTCTTTTCCTTTCTCTCCATTTCTCTTTTTCCCTTCTGTTCATTTTTTTCACCTCCCGTCTTTCTTTTTTGTTTCTTTTTTCTTCACTTTATTTTCTTTCTTTCTTTCTTTCTTTCTTTCTTTCTTTCTTTCTTTCTTTCTTTCTTAGCTTCCGTCTTTCTAGCTTTGTGTTAAACTTTCTGTCTGAAAGTGAATCAGGATTCATTAGCCGTAGATGTCTTGGAGATTTCCTTCCGCATTCTTTGGGCTTCATTCGTTCAATAACGGACATAATTCTTGTGCCGGACCAACTTAGATTTAAAGATCACACATCTAGTCATCTACTTTGATATTTTTCCATTATGATTATTATTATTAATATCATTTTCTTCCGTGTTGTTGTTGCTGTTATTATTATTATTATTATTATTATTATTACTAGTAGTAATAATAATAACTGAAACTTGAAAATGACTTCTAACTTTAACTCTTTCTTGAATTCAAAAAACTTTACAGCCGCCAAAGTAAGTATCGATGAACAAGGATATCTTTTCGAAGCAGAACTTGACGATTTCAATTTGTAAATGTGATGACGAAAGTCGAGAAATAGGGAACAAGTACATAATGAGGAAGCCATTTTTATCGCACACTTACACAGACATACACATATGCGCTTACGATTGTGTGTCACAAAGCAGCTGAGCTGATATGTAGTTGTTGAATTGTGATGCGTAATTTCCATTGCACCACATTCGTACAATGTGATTAATGTTCAAAATTATATTAAGTGTACTAGCATAAAACATTGGTTATATTTTCTTGTGCAAATTAAAGGCTTTCTTGATCCTTCGACTAATTCAAACATAGCGGTCAGTATTTATACAGGGCTTTATATATGTGATTAAAGGAAGTGAAGCTTCGAAAACCGGCCCTGGCCATTTTCCTCTGTTACAGTTAATTCTGGGGGTTAATTATGGCCATAGCATTTACAATCCTTCTATATCTGGTTGTGCCGGTGGAGTAAGTATTTATGTAAATAGGCTAGTGCTGTTTATAAACTTGACCTCATAATGGCCGGCTGCGCTCGTTTTCCGAGCACAGTCATGTCTTTGGGGCGGCTAACAAATCCCTGTCGCAAACACCTACTCAGGTACATTTTTGTTCGTTCAACACACACAGAGACCACTTCTGGTTTATACTTCAACTATGCTGAGGGGATCTTAGTTACAGATGCTAATAATTTTAAGAAATCAATATTAAATTTTCCACAAGCTGACGATGCTGGTGACTAAAACGCCAGCTTTGAAAAAATATAAGATTTCATTATTTTAAACAGAGACAAGTACATACACACGCAACTCATTTTTCAACTTCGATTTGATGACGCCTAAGCGGCGAAATGCGCATTTGGATGTTTCTTGGAAATATTATAATTTCATGAACATTTTTCCAATAGTCAATAAATAATAACTCTTTCGGAATCATATGCCTAAATTTATAATGTATATATATATATATATATATATATATATATATATATATATATATATATATATATATTTTAAAATCTTTTTTTCGCTACATAGTAATAAGCATGTTTTAAAATGGAAGCTAAAAGCTTCAAATTTAATTTTGTAATTAAATTAAAAACATTAGTTCGATTTCATCCTTTTTGAAACATGGTTATTACTATGTAGCGAAAAAAACATATTTTAAATCAGTTAATTTATAATATTAATGCTCTGTAAATTTAAATTTACATTGACCACTATTTTGTAAAAATAAAAATATCAGTAAGAACACAGGATTATATATCTTATTGTTCTTTCTTTCTTTTACATATATATATATATATATATATATATATATATATATATATATATATATATATATATATGTGTGTGTGCTTATGGATATGAAAAAATATACATACACGTATATTACTGTACTTGATGAATTTATAACATGTGTGTATATAATTTCACTTTTATCAATATAAGGCTTGGCTCTAAAAGCAATACATATATAGTCACGCCCTATTATTTGTTACACCCTTATATTATATTTACAACCCTAGTAGTTTAATTTAATTAGTATAACTATGGTATTTTATGCAAAATAGACAGTTATCCTCTTTGATATTTTATTTAATTTTAAATTAAAATATTTTGAATTCTGCGCCTTTCGGAATGAAGAATTTGACTGATATAAATTGTAAATAATTAATTGTAATATTTTAGGCAAGGGTTAATAATGAAATAAACAATTTTAAATCATCACCACCAGAATGAGAATTACATAACGGTTAGAATATAATCCATACATGAAGATTGCAAAAACTGCATGAAACTCCATGTCGTTCTATCGACCTTGGATATTATGAATATACACTAGTATATATATATATATATATATATATATATATATATATATATATATATATATATATATATATATATATATATATATTAATATATATATATAGTTGATGATCTTGAGATAATTGATGATCTTGAGATATTCTCAAACCAAACACGGTTAATTTAATTTAAAATATGTTGATTTCAATGTAGATGTTACATGAGATACGTCATTCTGAGAAAAATATAATCGTATCAATATAATAATTTTAAATTTTTTAAAATCATTTTTTAAAATATTCTTTAATTATTTTTTCTGATATAACGTTTATTTTAATATATCTTTAATTCGAATTATCTCTCTTTCATATAAATAGTTATATCGCTTATTATTGAATATAATATTAAATTTTAATAGATTTAAGAAGGATTTATTCGTGTCAAAACTACCTTCAGATTGCTACTGTGTCTAAAATAAATACGTCATTTTCTCTCTCATTTTTCTCTTACTTTCTCCTCTGACCACCCCTCATAACCAGAGATACACTTCCTCATATTTTTTTGATTTGTTCCCTTTCTTGTCTTTTTATTTCTTCTCTCTTCTCTTGTTTTCATTTTCTTTCTTTCGTTCTTTCTTTCTTTTTATTTCTTTCTTCTGTCTGGCCATTTTATTTCAATAATTTATCATCCTTGACTGATTTGTAAAACCTTGTAAATTATCTCTATTTTACAAGGAGATAATGTTCATCACATATATGTAATATTAATTCCTATTGTATGAAATATCCTGCCCTGTTTAATTAAAACATTGAACACTTTGTGTGAATCAATTTTTATATTTCATATTATATATTTTATATTGTATTAATACGATTCACTTGAATTTCATACCAACGTATTATTACACACACACACACACACACATATATATATATATATATATATATATATATATATATATATATATATATATATATATATATATATATATTTAATGTCTTCCCTCAAATGAGTCTATTATGGACTCTTCCACTTACTATAAAATAGTAGGAATAGTAAGCCTCGGGGGAACAGTGCTAGACTGTTCATCTCTCAAACTATCTGCCTCAACAGAGAGAAACCCGAAAGAAGTATTGCCGAAGGGCAAAGTTTCATCCGGGGAGGTAGACAGGCCCTGAACCCGTTTATGCGAGTTCTAAGGGAATCATTTTGGCCGAGCCTACGGGCACGGAGAACCCGCGGTAAACTCGGCCTTGTGCCACATATATCCCTCGTAGGGTGGGGACTGTTAAATATTAACAGTGATAGACTATTCTACCGAGGCTGTGACTGTTCGCACCTCCTGTCGAAATCTCTGCCTTGGGCAGAGAAGAACCCGGACGATGTTGTGCCGAAGGGCAGAGTTTCGTTCGAACAGGTAGACAGACCCGAAACCATATTTTGGCCAAGCCTACGGGCTCGAATAACCCACGTTAAACTCGGCCTTGTGCCACATATATTCATCGTGGGCTGGAGCTGGTCAACCGATAAACAGTCCCAAGTCGTGTTTTGTTGTTTCTTAACCAAATTCTTGATCACAACATATATATATATATATATATATATATATATATATATATATATGTGTGTGTGTGTGTGTGTGTATATATATATATATATATATATATATATATATATATATATATATATATGGCATAAAAAGCAATAAATTTTATATTATAGGCCATGATAGATTTAAAATAAAAACAAAACACACACAGCAGTCGACCGGTTTCGTCCCCTCTCATCAGAACTGTTAACGGGGAAAACAAATTATGAAGAGAGCAATAAAAAAGAAAGTCTGTCATGGGTGACGTGAATGAATGGACAGGGAGAGAAAAAAAATTATTATAAAAATTATACCAACAAATATGCTAGAAGCGCAGCACAGCAAGTCCAAGCAAACAATCTCTTTGTTTACAAAGAGCAGGTCGCCTGGACCTGATGTACAGCGTCTCCAACACCTTAAAATGGAATAATGAGAGTGCTGTGGCCAAAACGGAGAACCAGTTCACACTGAAATCCATCGCACAAGTGGGATTCTTTATAACGTGATCCGCAATCGAAGACCCATACGTGTTAAATACCATACGATACCATTCGTAACACGTAACATATATTATTTTTAATATTTTACGAAATAAAGTCACATGAACATATTTGTTTTGACTATAATAGGTTTATTATTTTTATTTTTCGTTATTTTTTTTTACATTCTTAATAGCGATTGCTTAATCTATAATAATGAGATTGACTGACTGAAATTTACGGCTTATCAAGCAGAATACATTATCAAGCAGAATTTATTTTTTAGAGTTTAAGAATTTTTTAAGAGATAACAATGAGTTAGCGATACATGTCCTACTAATTAACCCATAGCTTGGGGGAGAAGAGTTGGATTCATAACTTTCGCAAGAGTATTTGCGTGTAAGTGAATATAACGAACATGACTGAAAATAAAACGACTTTCCTATTTCCAATTCCGAGTCGTTATGACGCAAAACTACCCGCAAATCCAAGCTTACAGCATCAGGTATTCCCAAGCGGTCACCCAACTACGTACTCACCACGCTCAACGTTGCTTAATTTCGGTGATCGTACGAATAGTAATATGGAAAAAAAAAGGATATTATTTATATTCTTTTACTGTAACGTTTTAAGGTAAAGTTGTGGGCATTATACAAAAAAGTTTTTGAAACCTCCATCTAAATTTAGCCGGTATGTCAGCTGAACTCCGTCTGTCACGGTGGCTGCTAAAGCTTCTCCTCCCCTGAAAATGGAACTGAACCCGGGAACCAGTCTAGGTAGAGGGTTTACAGATTAGAAGGTCCAGTTTATGCGGATATGTGAGAAAGATAATCCTAGACTTGAACTGGTTAAGATTGTAGTGATCGAGAAAACATCCTCTTGGGAGTTGTTTTCCCCAGAGATGTTATAAGCAGGAAAAAGCTGCACGAATGGAACTTACTTCTCATCAATGGAACACGTGTAGAAGATTAGAATTGGTAGAACTAAGGAATGTAGTTCGTCTGAGCATATTCCATGGAAATGGCGAAAGAGCAGTAAAAGGTTTGCATCATCGCGTCTGTGTTACCCGGAAGATTATGCCATGTTTTTACGCCCTTCTTTCTTTTGAATTCCACGCATTTACATTTACAACTGCGGTATATTTTTTAACATGATGGCATTTGGAATATAAATTTTTCCGAAAATAAATGCGAGATCTTGTCTGTTTTTATCTTCCTTTGTTAAATGTCGAGAATTCTTTATCTTCCCAAATGGTATTCACATAAGTTTGCCTACTTTTAAAGGTTACCGACATACCATTACCAAAATGTAAAGAGGAATAATTATAGTTAGCAAGCTGGCCTCTGGTGGCTGTGTTTGTGGGCTCGTTCCTCATCAGATATCACTAAAATGTATCTTTCCAAAGCGTAGTACGCAATAAGTATATATACAGAACAGTAGTTACCAAGCTGATCTCGCAGACTATTAATAGCATTTATGCTTCTAGATAAATAGTGCTATTAATTGTGCATGTTATTCTTTGAAATAATAACCTTTTGAAAGCTACAATCGCAAGTTCTATTCTGATAGTTTCTTTTCACGTACTTCTTGCCTGTGGAAATCCCTTCCAATTTCTCATACCCCAATCCCACTACCTACAATCTTAAAGAAATTAAATGCAGCGTCAATCGACATCTTCCTCAAAAGAGATTTCGTTCTACAGAACGAAGCGTTTGAGCAAGACGATAATGCCACTAAGACGCAAGGGGCTACTGAGAGTGAAAGAGAATGAGAAGATTTTATATGCAAACGGAAACCCAATCCTAAACAGGAAACAAGGAATAAATTTCTACTCCTGTTCAAAAGTCGAATGTTCACATTTCGCAATTGTATTGGTGAAAAAGCGTATGCAAGAGCCTCGGCTGGAATTTGAAGCTAACTTATTCTACGCACCAATAAACCACTTCGTGACGCACACATAGACGCTTGAGTAAATGGCAATGATACTGTTCTGGTCAGGCGTTACTTTATAAGGAAACATTTGGTATTCATTGACTTACCGGTTAACGTTACTGCCGACGGAAACTTTAAAAGAAATATTTCTCTTAAAACGGTAATTAAGAAAAATAGCTTTCTCTAGTACACTGTTATCTTTCATTCCAAGGTTATTTTGAATATCGTTATAAAAGTTTCTTTCCTAAACTTTTGTTTAACCCTTTGGAGACGACAGGGCCGATATATCGGCTGAAAAGTCGAATGGCGAAGAAGATGAATGGGACGATCCCTCGGCCCAATAATACAAGTGATAAGCAGGCTGGTATTCGTACCAGCCAATCAAATTGCTTCTAACATTTCTTACACATCTGAGCCTTTCAATGGCGGTTTCTCTGATAGCTTACAGTGTTCTGTGATTTTACATCGATTTTTTTTTGTTCCAAGTAAGGTCACGAGAAAAGGGCTTCGTCTTGGGACTGAGATTTCAAATGAAGCTGGTATGGAAATTTAACATTGTTATTATATCATAATTTTCCCTTTACTTACATGTGCTGTCTTTTTTAGTCACTGCCTCTATTGAAAGTCTCTAAGTAATGCGTTTTTTTTTTGTTATTTGGTAAAGTGCCGTTGTGAAAGCGATTCTCTATCATCCGTTTGTAAGATCCAACGAAGGACATTACTCTTCAAGAACCTCAGGAATCATTCACCAAAAAAGACAGAATATTTTTATTCATTAATTTGAGAAAACCAGTTATATATAGTAGTCTCAGTCGGATAAGGCTTACGTTGGAACACCAGTTCCTGTATAGTCACCAAATTTAAGCAACATCGAACCTGGTCAGTACTTACATGGGTGACCGCTTGGGAATACCAGGTGCTTGGATGTGCGAGTGGTGTAATGGATAATAGCACGGATTTTTTAATTCGGGCGCCGAGTTTCAATTCCTGTTGAGTTTGTTATATTCTCTTATGTCCAAATACTCTTAGGAAAGGTGTGACTCTACCTCCTCTCCTCCAACTATGGATTAATTAGTAAGACTTCTATTATTCAGCCATTATTATCTGAAAAGATTCTTGTAATATATATATATATATATATATATATATATATATATATATATATATATATATATATATATATATAATAATTTTTTAAAAAATATGATTCCATCGCTACATAAGAGTTCTCATGTTTCAAAAACAGGAGCTAAAGAATTTAATTTAATTATAAAAATTTTATTTAATTATAAAAATTTAATTGAAATTTACGCTCTACTTACGTATTGAGCACTGAAATAAAAGCAAAAATACTAAAGAACTTCGGATTATTAACGTAACGTGTTCTTTCCTATTTTTTCTATATATTTGCACACACAGATATATATATATATATATATATATATATATATATATATATATGTATGTATGTATGTATGTATGTATGTATAAATTTACTTTAAATAGCCTGCAAACGATTGATAAACTATAGAAAACCAATCAATCAATCACTCAATCGGACAAGGATATTTAAAATATGACTAGAGTTCATGGGTCAATAGTTTTTTTAATAAGCTGCGTGGTTAGAGAAATATTTTCCTAAGGAAACTGATCCTATCTTCAATTTTCTTGATCTGTTGTATTAAATTTGTTATAACTGACCCGTATATCAATGTATTTGTAGTGTTTAGCAACATCATTTGAAGAGTATTTTCTAACGATCTTGAAAATATCCTAAGATTGCTGGGACGAAGAGAAAACCTCGAGAAAGCCTGATTTGGTCACGAGGACTTCCAAAGCCTCACCGATGACAATGAACTTCCAGGACTTACCTGATAGGAAGGAATTCCATAGCTGAAGAGTTCGTAAGTCTAAGCTTCTTAAGAATAACCGCAATTTTATCCAAACCAGTTGATTTCGTAGAGCCAAGGCTTTTGTGAGTCTGAAAACTTCCTCTGCCATGATGGACATATCACAAAGTGTGTACCCTGTGAGTGTGGGGAAGTCAATTTAAAGCCTGGTCACTACCTGGGTGACCCAATTGTGAAAACCAGGTGCTGTAATCTTGGATATGGTAATAGTTCCGAATTCAATTACATTCGGTTTCGTTAGATTTACTTAAACCAAATACCTTTGAGAAAGGTATGCATTCACTTATCCCCCGCTATGGACTAATTATTACCACTTGTATCGATAAAATCATTATTGTCTCAAAAAACGTTCTTACAATCTAAAAATATTTTCTGACTTTAAATGACCTTCAAAAAGGCGAATATGCTTCAAACTAACGGTTGACATCAAGTGGAACTCCTATATACGATCCATTGCTAAAGATGCAATAAAAATGATCGGCTCTCTGTACCGCTCCAGTAAGTATCTGACAACTCATGATATCCTCTACCTGCATAAAAGACAGATTTTGCCGAAGATGGAGTACTGTTCCCATAGTTTGGCAGGAGTTGCCCAGACCTCATTTTCCAGACTTGATAGAATTCAAAGGTGTCTCCGAGTCCTTATTGGAGAAGAATTAAATTTCTACCCTCCATCCTCTCTCACACAGGCTCAATCGCTATTACCATGGAGAATGCTCGGACGAACTACATTTTTTCGTTCCGCCAGGTCTAATCTTCACGGATAGGACCCGCCATCAGAATGACTTAGAAAATCATCGACATTCCCTGGTATTTCATCAGCGAGAAGTATGTTCCACTCCCAACAATTACTTCCCACGAACCTGTAGAAAAGATTCCAAAGGGCCCTGATCAGGATGAACCTTACTGTAAAAAATAAGCCGTAAAAGATAAACAGTCATATTACTACAGATTAAGCATTTCAGATCAGGAATATTAAAATAGAGTGGGTGGTCCAGTTTTCTGTGTAAATTTATTGTAAACTGTTCTCTCATACAAAAGTCAAAACAAATAATGTTGATACGACGGCGTTTCTTAAAATGTTAAAAAAATAATCTATTTTTAAGCTACATCTTGTAAGCTAGGGTAGGAATTGTATCAGTAAACCATTATTGTCTCCCAAAATTTCTTACAATCTAAAAAAATATTCTGGCCTTAAATAGCCTTCAGAAGGTTGATAAGCTGTAAAAAAATCAAACAATAGACGATAGACAGTAAAAATGAAAGAGGTGTGTGAAAGCACATGAATGGTTTATAACGGTTCTCATTTTTATGATCTCTGCCACGTGGGACCCTGTCCTTGATACAGGCCACGAGTCCATGGTCATGACGAATTTGAAGGTCTTTTTCACGATTAATCTAGGTAGACTGAGATTGTCTTTCAGACAGGAACCCGTCCTCAATAAAATAGTAAACCTGCAGTACAGGACGCTGACTGTCAGCTGCGCAGATCATATGGCTTTGGACTAAGCTTGTTGGTCCAGCTGGAAGTTAATTCAGACTGATACAACGAATGCTTATGCGATCCTTCTGTAAACTTTTAAATGAACCAAATTCTTCATTCACTTCTCGTGAATTACATATGCGCTTACCATACAGAGTAATTTCTATGGTCCTTTCATCGGTCACCTACAGCTATCGTATTTTTTATGTTATTGAAATTATAAATGTACACGTCAATGGGGCAAAAATA